TCGCAGCCTCTGGGAACGAGATTGGCACAACTGACATATGGTGCGCGCGAAATTCTGAATGAATAGCATACTATTCGCGACAGTCCCTTTCACGCTCGCTGAATAAGAGACGGAGAAATGGAACCGCGCTTGAGTGAGTTGAAAGTAGAAAGACAGGGAAGGGAGGGAGGGAGGGAAATGGGAAGCAGAGCCGCATAAGGAGGCAAACGTGAAAGGGAGAGACAAACAATTTACGGCTGCCAGCAGCCAAAGGATTCTTACGCGAACTGGGCAGAAATGAGATGGGGAGCTCTTATTTACACTCGCGTTGCAAGGACTGGCGCGAATAGTGCGTACAACTGACTGAATAGTATGTGCAACTGAGAGTCAGGTGCCAATCCTCTTGAAACCAAAACTGTTAAGCTTATATCGCTTTAAATGGTCATTTCCAGTCCATGATGTGTAGCAGCAAATTATATCATTTTAGTGCTAGTAAAGGATAAAAGCTAGAATAATGATGGCTTAGTATGTATTTGATAACACAATATCGCATGGAGGTACGCACGGTTTTATAAATCGCAACCCGTCTCCCAAATCGTTTCCACGCTGCTGACTTGATAAATGTTTCGTTTTTATCAATATGGTAAGGCAATTACTCTTTAGGTCTTAGGAGCATGCTCTTCAGGAAGCAAGAAAAACATCGCGGTTTGTTTATAAAAATTACTTGAAGGGTGTTACTTAAAAGGCAAATGTACCATTTTCACCTTTTTTTTATTTTCCTTCTGTTCATTTGCTTTGTTTTTCTATATCGTTCTTCTTTGTTTATATCTTCCACATTTTTTTTAGGTACGCACGCGCGTACTGGCGTACGGGTAGTTACGCCCCGGAGAGGTGCTCTATATACGGTATTTCGTTTTCGTATCAAACGGAGGAAGCTGCTTTGTAATTTGTGCTGGGGGGAGCTTATTACTAAAAGGTCAAGAACTACTAAAAAGCTGCCACCGACTAAAATCAAACCTGGTCCATTACTGTTAAAATAGAAGCAGTTTTTATTCCTTTGCTTAGCCTAGACACTTCTACTTTTACACCATAAAGAACTAACATTATGAAGTGTGCACGTACGTTACAGTGGTAAGTTACGTGGTAAGAAACGGGGCTCTTCCTTGAAGTGGCCTTAAAGTAAATAGCATTTGCTATGTTAAGACATAGAAAATGCAGTTCAATAGAAATTCACGTCTTAACTGCATCTTTATAGCTCAATGCAATTTAGCTCCTAACTTTTTCTTTGAACTATGGTCAATACAGATACAAGCCCCGACGTTCATACAGTGGAACCTCGATTTAACGAACCTCAATATAACGAAGTCCTCGGTATAACGAACGATTTGCTTCAGCCAGGCCAAAATTACAATAAAATGTATGGAACAGAACCTTGATATAACGAACATCGTTTTAACGAAATCCTCGTTATAATAAACACAATCCACAAGCGCAAACGTAAGCATGTCAACATGTGATAAAAGAAGAATGCCAAACAGGCCAACAAGGAAAAAAATTATGTTTACAGTAGTTTTGAGCAGTTTTGTTTGCCTGTTCTTGAGTTTCCAGTGCCGTAGCTATGTATAGCTCGGAATTGAAATGTTAATACAGTAATTTTTCAGACCCGGAAATGCTGTTTTTTATTAACTATACCTCGATGTAATGAACATTTTAGTAGTTCTCCCGAAAATTTGTTAAATAGAGGTGTTCCATATAACGAACCCTCGATTTAACGAACAAATTTCCCCAGTCCCTTGGCACTTCGTTAAACCGAGGTTCCACTGTATAAACAAGGGTACATTGCCGTCATGAGTATGACGTCATAATATCATGTAACAAACTGGTAAATCTTGAGTCCCATTTCCCATTGTAACTTCCTTCCGAAATTTATATCAATTCCTATTTATATTCACGACAAAGACACGGAATTGGGTGTGCAGCTCGAACTGTGGAGCCTGAGTGTTTAATGCCGTCCAAATAACATACAAAGTTCAACATCATAACTAAAGAATGGTAAACAAATATTCCTAAATAACGTCACTCAGGCTAAACTATTCACGTGCGCCGCCTGATACGAAAACCCAAAAACCCAATGGGAAAAATTGGGAACGTATTCCCCAACCGATGCGGTCGCACAGCCTCTGGGGGTTAGAGGCAAAAAATCAATCGATAGATGAATAAAGTAAGATATAAAAATAAAAGTTGATAGTTCGAGAGCTGAGATGAATACATTACAACTGTCAAAACCTTTAATACCTAACAACAATTGAATCAATTAACGCGATAGCGGCTTACGTACGTTCATACCAATAGGAAAGTATTTACATTCTCTGTCACTGCCACTACCTTTAGCTCCGCCGAATGTATAAACTGCGACCATTAGCCTAGCAACATCATTAAACCCCACACTAAGTCAAGAGACCCCATTTACTAATAAGCATTGCAGCTAACATTCAGTTTTATCATTTATTACTCTATTATGAGTATGAACCAGAATGTCGTGCAATGGGTGAATGCTATCGCCTAAAATCATATTATTACTGATCCTCTTATGTAATAGTATTGCAGAGGAGAGTTAGTAAATGTTCATGTCACCGAGTACGATATTCCACTAAAATATGAATGTTTATCTTAACTGAGTTAAAATTAACACCACATTAACACCGTGAAACATATGCGACGTTAATAATGTTTTAGTCTTTTTTTTTTGTTTTTGAAGGCTTTTAAGTGTACAAAATTCATAAATACCATGTAGTTCTGGTTAGTGCACATTTCACTCGAAAAGCCAAGGAAATGTGAGATAAACGGGACTTCAACATAATTAGTAAAAGTAATTCAAGAATAAAAATTAGTCCTATTATTATACATTGAACTCGGTATCTCTTTTCTGATTGACCGAAAGCGTATTGTGAATTTTCGAAATCAGCGCCTGGGACGTCATCTAGCTACAGATTATACAATAATCATGTCAAGGACACTCAAGGTCACGGGTAATCTTGTCATGTATGACCGCGGTGCATGATTTCTAAGGGTAATCATGTCAAGTTCGCGCGCTTTGTGTTGCTTGCCCTCAGTGAAGAAGCAAAAACATGACTTACAAGTGTGCTTCGTTGACCGAGCAGGTCATCGAAAAAATAGTTGAAGACAAGGACACACAAAACACAAAAAGGCCGACGAAGGTGGCTAAGAAGCTGTTTGCTGATTACGTGAAAGAGAAAACTGAGCGAACCTGAGGAAAAGAAAGAGTTGACACAAACTTTGAAAACGTACATTTTATGTCCGAGCGAGAAAGAAAGAATTCGTTCAATGCATAATAAAACAATTTTTAGATTCGGTTTTTGTCAAGAATAATCAAGGTCTCAATAAGGGTTATCAGCCTCAGCCGATAACCCCTACCTCGACCTTGATTATTCTGGATATCACAAAAACCTCGTCCAATAATTGTTTAGAATTGAATGACTCTCTATGGTTATATTCAGTAGATATCATATACGATATGTGAGTGAACGAATAGTGGACTTTATTCAACACTACTTAGGTAAGGGAAGCAAACATGTTATAAGTAAAAAGCAGAACTGTACGCATAGAACTAAGTTTCTATGCAAATTTCAGTGAAAGACAACGCTTCACGTTTTTTAAGGAGATAAAAATGTCATTCAATTCCAAGTCTAATTCCTCTTAAATTAGCTACATCAATAAATACATATATATGTAATGTAGTTACTGTACCAAGAAACTGTACGGTATATCAAATATATCTTTTATCCTGAAGGATACTGTGTCATAATAATTTAATGTGTATAGCAGTCTGAATTCAATTCAGTGCTGATATTTTGCTGCACAACATTTTGCAGCTTTTTCAATTGTACGATACTGATACTCAACTCCACTGAACTTAATTTCAGTTGTATTGTTAGCCAACATTATGAACGACCTAATGATACAGCTAGGTCGAAAATAATTTTAATTGTTTATCAAATTACTAACTTTAGCCCAGTGAGACTGATCCCTAAATGACATGGTATCTTGATCTTTATAGTCCCTACTTGACTAAGAATTTGGAAAAATTAAGATGGAATCCACCAGGAAATTGAGTAATTTTCATTCTCAGTGGACAAAAACCGTGTCCCAAAGTAATTTAAAGAATATTGCATTCTTTTTTACATTTTTCAAGGCCTAAAGAGGTACTTAGTCATCTGTATATAACACCAAAGACTATTTCTCATGGGAGCCCGAGAAAATGAGTGTCAAATTTCACAAGAATTGTGAAAACACAGGTAAAATTCAGAAAATTTCATGTGTCAGACGTAATTTTGTGAAATTTGACGTTCATTTTCCAATGAAAATTAAAATTACTCAATTTCCTGGTGGATTCCGTCTTAATTATTCTTTGTACTTTCTATCAAATTCATTCAGTACAAACGTTATAAAAGGCTAGGTTACAAAGTGCCCTAACCAGATTCTGTCAATCTACTTGTGACAAAATAACGACCACTATACTACATCTAAATCCAACTTAAGAAAGAGTGAGCATCAAATTTACAGCAAACCGCAGAGATGAACACATCACATCACATCACATCATTTTACACACTGCCTTTCAATATGTATGTTTGGTGTTTGTTTACATCTACACCTAGAACCAATAATCCCGAAAAGAACTGAACAAGCCAATCACTGAGGAGATTTACAAGTCAAGAAATCACTGAAAAATATCAATGAAAAATTACTAAATTGATCACAGGGCTTCCATGAAGAAAGTTCATTAATATTGTTATTATTTTTATCATTATTTTCAGGCTAGATCAAGAAAACAATAATAAACCAATCAATAAATCAATAATAACAATACTAATAATAGTAATAATAACAACAGTAATTTTTTGTTCAATCCTTTTCAGATCAGTGCAACACAGCAAACCTCAGTCATGTGCTGTAAACATGATGCTTACTTACTATTAAACTGTAAGGCTTTGTTCAGACTATACACCAAATAGTTCTGGCCCCTGCGTTTCTTTCCTTATTAACCTCCGGTAAATTGCGTTGCGTCTCCAATACAGTAGTGCAATGACTGACAGGATAAGGGCAATGGAGGAAATAACAATAATTGCAATAACATGACTTGGTATGTCCTTGCCCCCTGAAAAATACAAGTAGAATTGAAATGGTTACAGCAGTACTTCAAATAAATTGAACTGCTCAAAGAGTTAATCATAACAACAACTACCTTATGAGTGCAGACAGCCCTTTTTGTATTTTAAGAAACTTTTTCCCACCTGTTTGTGTTTGCTTGTTTGTTTGCTTTGCTTAAACATAACTCTAAAAAAATCAGTAAAACTTTTTTCAATAATAACAATGATAATAATAATAATAACAGCAACAACAACAACAACAATAATAATAATAATAATACAGTAAAACACCGCGAAAAAAAAACCTAGATTTTTTGAAGTTTGGCAAAATAGATTCTTATACTTTGGAGTACTTATTGGAAGTTTAGGCTAAATAGGTTCTTAATTTCACCCGGACGATCAAACTCAACCTACTTTTGAAGAAGGATACTGTTGCTGATTACTGTTGTTGGAGTAGTCAATCAATAAAAATTGGTATCGATAAAAATCAGTAGCAATCAAGTCATTTTTATCGATTGATAACGGAAATCAGTGAAAATCGATAATCTAAATTGCTGTGTCAAATTGATATTATCAGGGCTCAAAGTTTAAATTTGAGTTTGGGAGCACTTGTGCTACCAGATGTAAATTTTTAGGTGCACTGCCGAAATTTTGGGCGCACAGCTGAAAATTTTAGGAGCACAGCTTATATGTTGGGAGCATCTATTTCAAAAGAAAAAGTAAAAAGCTCAACAGTGCCACGTTTATTTGTCATCTTCAGGTTGTTACTTTTACTTCAGTTCTGTGATTGATAAAACACAACTGATTTGCTATGCAGTAATACCATTGTGATTTTTAATACTAATTTCTCTTTTTGACGGTACAGTTGTGACTAAAGAAAACTTACACTTGAAAAACAATTCAAAACTGAACGAGAATGAAAATTAATCTTTAATGAATTTGTTAAATGCGCAATGACTTACATGTAACTGGAATACGACTTAAAAAACTTTCTTACCTGGAAAAAAGGCTCTTAATCCGCACTGTTTTTGTTTTGATTGATGTTAAAACTGAAAGTATGTGTTTTGTTCGTAGCATATATTTGCATGTGTCAGCGGTGTTTATTACAAAACAGAAGAGTCTGGGATGGAGTAAAACATCGAAACAAAAAAGAACATTCGAGTTCATAGAATCCATTGGGAGAAAAGACCAATTAAACATACACCGTCTTTCTAGTTCGGGTTCGTAAGTATAGTCAGAAGTAAGTCAGTCGCACTGTGCCTTGGGTTTTATGGCGCACAGGTGCAATTACACATGAAATTTTAGGCACACAACCAAACATCCAGTCGCATACGCGACCATTTAGTCGCTAACTTTGAGCCCTGTATTATCGATTTACAATGGAAGTCCGCCATGGTTGTTTCTTGGCACGAGTCAGATAATACAGCTGGGAAAGTTAAAACACATCCACGAGTAACAACTGATCAACAAACATGAAAATGAGAAATGTGGAACCTATTACACACACAAGCTTCTCTCTAAAACTATTCATTTTATACATAATAACAAAAACGGTTCAGTTTTATAATTACATTCAGTTCTCTCAGGCAAGTATCACTAGAAATACAACCTTAGTAAAGAGTCCCAGCCTAAATCTCAGACATCCCCTCGAGTCGAAGGGATGTCTGAAATTCATTCACAGATTTCCCTCGATAAATTTTCACCATTTCCATTATCAATCGATAAAAATCACTTAATTGCTAACGATTTTTATTGATTTCAATTTTTGTCTATTGGCCACTCCAGGATGTAACCACACCACTCATATTGCCAAGAATACTGACAAGTTACCAACAATTATCTCAAAATTATTATCGAAGCTGTTATCAACCCCACTTTGATAACTGAACATGCAGCTGCTAAAAATACATTTTCTCTGACAATATACATGACATTACTTACTGATCTGTGCTTCAGAAGGATGTACTTCGGGAGTTGGATTTCCACCTGTGAGAAGTTGGTTAAAACATCACTGATTATTATTATACATGTACAATGATACATACATACATACACACACATACATGAATCTCCATAGCTTTAAAAACCCTGACCTTCACCTTGCCAGGTCTAACTCACCCTGTTCACAGTTATTGCCCGAGAATCCTTCCATGCAAGTGCAATTGTATCTCCAACCCTCCATTCCTTGACATGTTGCATTGTTCCAGCATGGACTGGATTGACATGGATTCCAAATACCTGTGATTCGTAGAAAAAACATGGGCTTAGGGAGTAGGCAAAAACTGACCAGAATCAAGGATCTTAAAAAAGAAGAGAACATTGCCTGGCTAAAAGCCTTCTAGCAATGTCATCAGTGAATGCAAGACATCAAAACATTTTTGTTATTTATGATGGGAGCATTTCAAAGGCATCCATGTTCTGAAAAGTGGAGTGAGTTTATTGTGGTTTATTTGCTGGGTTTGCAGTTTATAGTAGGCCCCTGAATTAAGTGCCAGTGTTTCACACCCCTTATATTCACTTAATGAAAATTGAAAAAGTTCAAAAACCTTACCTCCTGAAGCATTTTCCCTCTCTTCTTGTCCCTCTAATAACAAAAAGTGATATCAACCAGATTTTAATTGTATTCAGTTATTCATATTTTCTTATTGTACTACTGAAATGTAATAATAATAAAAAATTGAAGTTATATCTCCTATATATATTGTACTAAATATAAACTTGATCATGACTATTTTGACAGATTTATGACATTTCATTCAAGTAATTCTCTTAGGCATTATTTTTGTCAGTTCACTGATGGATGCAGGCAGTGGCGGATCCAGCGGAGGGGCCTGGGGGGCCTGCCCCCCCTTATTTTTAGACCAAACTGCGGCCTGAAGGTCAAAAAGATTTTTTTGGAGACCGGAGACCCAGAACATGCCATTGCACTCGTGCAATTAAATGGCTTTTTGTCACTGCTAGCCAAAAAACTCGTGTTCTAATTTTAAAAAAGCCTAAAATATCAAACATTTTGTTACAGTTATGATTAATAGTAACTGGTAACAGAACTTCGTGTCATCCAATTTGGTCTGTAACCTAGCATGCCCCAAGATATCTGATACTCGGTAACCTTTACTGTAAGTGATACTTTTGTTCTTCTGGTGAAAAGACCCAGCAAGGTTGATAACTTATTTCACATTTCTTCCAGTGAGTTACCATAATTTTGCAGTTGACACAACCTGCCCTTTGTGTGTTGTGTATTTCACTATGACAAAATTTGCGCTAGACTTAAAAGTCTTGAAAATAAAATCATGACTTTCCCTTCAGAGTTAGAAATGTTAGGTCGCTACTGTATGAGGTAAAACTGATAAAAAGTCACGATCTGTGGAAAAGCAAGCTGGTTTCAATACATGTGACATCGGTGGTTTCAGTATGCTATTAACTTTTGCAAATTTGTAGTATTTTCTATCTTGCTACGAACACGAACAATACACTCGGAGGTTTCTTGTATCATTACTTTATTCAGCGTTATCTATGACTCCCTATTTTTTGCTGTACGTTTTGTGGTAACTTTTGAAAAACTGGCAAAAACATTTCAGTTTTTGAAAGCGGCTATTCAAGATCGCATTTCATTCTCTTTTTCTGCTATTTGGAAAAAAACAGCTCATATGTCAGTGGTTTGGGCATACATATCTTTGTGGCTTTGTATGTTCAGATGTTTGTTGCAGGGGCCAATAAGGTTGAAGGTACTATGAGTTGACACGTAAGAACCAATCAGAATTCAAGGCATCTAACTGTTAAAATGATACTGCTTAAGGTCAAACAAGGGCACTTAGAGACATTTTTGATTCTTCAGAATTTTTACTTCTTTTATTACTGCTAAAGGTGTTTAGAAGCATGGCATTGAAATATCTTCATGATTCAAATGCTGAGTACAGTGATGCAGCTGTTGATGGGTCCATATTTTAGTGTGGGTGCTGCTTCAAGACATTTGACCTAATTCAGCTATCGCGGGCGGTACAATGCACGTACCTCATAATTCACGAGTTCTGTTTTACCTGCTTCAAGGTAGAGTATAAAAGATCATATATTAATTTTTCAATGTTCTTCCAATAAAACAATAACTTAAATTTAGATATGGACTTTAATTCGGAAGTTTGCGGCCTATAAATTGTTGTTTTAGAAGTTGAAAGGCAAGGCGAGTATTGTTAATCCTGTAAACAATCTTTATTCTCTTGCATACAAAGTTCAACAGACCTTTTTCGTACTGGCAAAAAAACATGAATTAGGTGAGGAACATGATACATGCTTGCTGATTAAGAGTTATTATAGTTATGGAAATGTATTTTATTTTATCAGTAGAGATGCATAACTTAAGTCGAAACGGTAGTGGTCAGGGAATAAAAAAGGAAGAAGCTAGTTGACAAAATACCGTAAAATTCCGAAAATAAGCCACTCCATGTATAAGCCCCTCCAAATATAACCCCCTCAAACTCGTAACGCAAAAAGCCGTCTGTTAACTCCAAGTATGAGCCCCCCAGGGGGCTTGTACTTGGAAATTGCCCTCAAATGCAAAGTAAAACAAAGAAAAATGGTAAATTTCCTACCTAGAATAAGGCTAACCAAATAGATTTTCAAATGTAAATTTCCCTCCGTACATAAGCCCCTCCAAAATTAAGCCCCTCAAAAAGGGCCTTTGAAAAATATAAGCCTCGTGGTTTGCACGTGCAAACTACAGACTTGCTTTTTACAGTAATAATAGTAACTTGAACATATGAAGACACTTTCGGTTTTGTAACTAGTGCCTAAGCAAAGGCTCTTTTCTTTAAAGAAGCAATAACTTATAACCTTTAGAATTAAGTTGTCAGACTTAATGCTGTTTAATTAAAGTAGAATTGCACGTGACAACCTTGTGAACAATGATGATGCAACCATCTACAACAATGATGAAAATGGTGATATTTCTAAGCTATTCCGTCTTCGACGACCTTGATTATTTTTAAAAACCATGAAGAAACCTTGAAACCTTTGAGTCTTCCCTCTAAGCTATGTTTGGTGAGTTGATATTCATAGTACTTAAACAATTTGTTTATTTTCCACCAGATGTCTGGAGGAAAGACAAAGAAAAGTGAATCAGTAGCAGGGCTCAAAGTTAGCGACTAAATGGCGCATATGCGACTGGATTTTTGGTCGTGCGCCTAAAATTTCATGTGTAATCGCACCTGTGCGCCGTAAAACCCAAGGCACAGTGCGACTGACTTACTTCCGACTATACTTACCAACTCGAACTAGAAAGACGGTGTATGTTTAATTGGTCTTTTCTCCCAATGGATTTCTATGAACTCGAATGTTCTTTTTTGTTTTGATGTTTTACTCCGTCCCAGACTCTTCTGTTTTGTAATAAACACCGCTGACACATGCAAATATATGCTACGAACAAAACACGTACTTTCAGTTTTAACGTCAATCAAAACAAAAACAGTGCGGATTAAGAGCCTTTTTTTCCAGGTAAGAAAGTTTTTTAAGTCATAATCCAGTTTCATGTAAGTCATTGCGCTTTTAACAAATTCGTTAAAGATTAATTTTCATTTTCGTTTGACACACTCATTGTTGTCAGTTTTGAGTTGTTTTTCAAGTGTAAGTTTTCTTTAGTCACAACTGTACTGTCAAAAAGAGAAATAAGTATTAAAAATCACAACGGTATTACTGCGTAGCAAATCAGTTGTGTTTTATCAATCACAGAACTGAAGTAAAAGTAACAACCTGAAGATGACAAATAAACGTGGCACTGTTAAGCTTTTTACTTTTTCTTTTGAAATAGATGCTCCCAACATTATAAGCTGTGCTCCTAAAATTTTCAGCTGTGCGCCTAAACATTTACATCTGGTAGCACAAGTGCTCCCAAACTCAAATTTAAACTTTGAGCCCTGAGTAGTATGAGGAACGAATCAGCTTTGAGCAGCAGTTCTCGTTTTCATTAACGTACAGCAATGCCCAATTTTGCACAAAACATAGCCTTAATTTAGGATTAAAACAGTAGATTGCCTATCACTGAAGCATTCAAAATAGCTCATGCAGGTAAGACATGCCTATGTTTAATTTATGCAGTCGCATGCGATGCATGTAAATAAAAACTTCACAGATATATAAACAGTTCAAAGTTGATAGTTCAAAAGATAGAATTGATACAAAAATACTGAGTTAATTTTCCAAACTTCTAGATAAAAACCTTTCATTGGTCCTTTCTTATCACCTAAAAACTTCACACGCAAGTGTTGTTGGTCAGTGTTTATGCTGTCTCGAGTATTGTTCCGGTTTTGTCTCATCATGCAACGTTCTTTAAGCCTTACCTAGCGAGATCCAAGGGCCCCTGCTTGCAGGGTAAAAATTGGTAAGGAACAACGTCAGCAAAGATAAATGTTTCCAGCGATAGAACGTTTTGGATATTCTGACCAATCCTGACAGAGTTACACTCACTGTCCACTGCCAATTTCGCCATTTACATACTACTGTTTTGAGATTAAATTTGCCCCTTTCCTAAAAAGTCAGCCAGCCACAATTCTATGCAAAAGAAGGATGATAAAGTGGGCAACAAAACTGCTAATAAACAAAAAAGGCAAAGGAAAAAAGAGAGCGAGAGAGAAAGATGGAAATAGATTCGCCAAAAAAGGACCAAATTTTGGCCTTTGTGCATACGTGACAAACAAATAAGCTTTTTAATTGCGTCAGATTAGTCGAAAAATATGCCTTTTTTCTTGCAAAACTCATTTTTTGCCATTTTTATGCTAATTAGCCAAAAACCTGTCCAAAGAAGAGGAATTGGTGAAAAATGCAGTTTTTTCGCTACTCGCCGGCTGTCACCAAAGGGTTAATAAAGTTACTGATCTTTTTTAATTGGGCGCCTAGAAACGCGGCTTGGGGTCTTAACTTTTTATTTTAGGAGCCGAAGGGCTCCCAAAAATTTTTCTTAGGCAGCAGCCTTGAGATTTAACCCCAGCAGAAACAAAAGTTGATTATCTTCCCTTTGAAAAGGTTCTTTACAAAGAAAGAAATGGATTCAAGCGATATGGCATGGCAAATGGAAGTACCTTACAATCATGGAGTCAAAAGAACGAAAGTGAGCTTGCTTCACTTCAGAAGAGAAGACTCATGAAACTATTTAATGGGAGAATTCCTGAGAGATGGTTCTGTTTCAAGTTCACTTCCTCCATTCTCTTATTACCAAGGAAATGTAAACATTCTTGAGAACAAGTGAATCCGCCGTCACAACTTAGCAATCCTTAGGAGCTCTCAGGGAGACTTCTGTGAATGAAATGTTTACAATGAGGCTGAATGTTTTCACATTCTTCACGATCCTGTGTTCAAGAGTTTGAGCAGTGCCATAAAAGTAGCAAACCCTTCGACAAGTTGAATCAACAGATCACGTGCAAGGGCAAATCTGACAATGCTCGAATACTTGCACGCTCTTTCCCTGCCAGAACCTTTTTCCTTCTTCTTACTTTCTTAGTTCGCCACAGTTCCTCTGTTAAGTTTTTCAGTGCACTTTGATCATAGGACTGTTCTTCAAACATGTCGTGTTCTTCTGGTTCTTACATGGTTTCACAGGCCTGCCACCCTGTTGTGTTTCATTCACACTCGTCACTATTGTTATATTTTAATGCAGCTGTTTCCAGACTGAAATCTAAAAGATCTTAAAGTTGACAGCGGATGCTCCCATTCTTGAGAATGCTTACCTTTTGTTGGATAAATAACAGACCATGCAAAAATCATAGAACAGCACCATTTCTTACGAAAATTCTTTCATTCAAATACTTTTGTGAGTCCTCTCTCCTAAAGAAAGTGAAGCGAGCGCACTTGTGTTTTTGCTGTTAAGTGTTTCCCATCACCGAGCCGAATTGCATGAATCCTTAACTTTCTTTTTGAAAAGACCTCAGGAAAGTAAAGGTTGTTCCAACTAAAGTAAAATCCTCTTTTTGGTGGCGCTCAGGCATGCAACAACTGGAAGCAAACCATATCGATCAACTCAATCGCTAAGACATACAGTCAAAACAAAACTCTTGAGGCCTCACTAGCCTCGCTTTCACGCAACTAGACCCGGGTCGGCCGAGAGGTCCGCCATATTTGAATTTGGTGTATAACCAGAACAAAAATGTCTAAAATCTTGGGCATTTACCATGTTACACGCCAGGGCTGTCAATAACGGCCGGTAGCTGGCCCAAACCACGGCTAGGTAGGCATCCTTAGCCGGCTACTTTTCTCCTTCTACCATAACTGCCAACAAAAAATAAGCACCATTGAATAAAATTGTAAAGCATCCGTGTTCCAATTTGAATGACATTGAACAGGTTTAGGTCTGTGGAACGTTCAAACCATGCGATGTTGTGGAATTCCTGCGACATTTCTATGGCATTGTTCCCAGTGTTGCGAGTATTCTGGCAAAACAACATAGCATCTGCAGTGGAAAAAAATACCTCTTGGAAACCACTGGAAATGCCATTTCAGAGACTCAAGATATCCCTAGATGCCTCAGCACTCAAGAAATTGTGCCTTTGGTGCGAGTTCTAAAGCTGCCTTCTATTCATTATCAGCCTGCTACTTGAAAACTTTTTGACAGCCCTACATGCACATGTATATATAATCACTGTTTTTTTGGGTGGATATGTTTTTTTTATTTCAATTCACATTAAACTACATGTATCCACAATTTTTTTTTCTTTCAAACTTAATATCTAACCCAGAATAAATTGAAGTGTTGAAATAGTGATAAAATTTTGAATTTGTCTGGATAGCTTGTGCTACTGAGTATTATTGTTTGAAACACTTAAACACTTGTAAACTGGTTTTCCTACAATGAATGCATTAATTGCATTTGATTTCTAATCATTATAAATCAAATTGCTACAAATCACACCTCCCACAAAGGAAAAGTTGCACAATGCTGAAGGCAATGCTTGATGGAGGGCATAACATCACTCAGACACTGTGCAACTTTTTATTTAATTTATAGCTCATAAACTCAGGATTATATTAACAAATCATTTACTTTTATGTATAAATTTTAGCATACCCACCTGATATATGAACTTGGATAGTGCGGTCTGACGCACTGTGATTTGTGCTAAGATAATTGTACTGAAGACTTGATGAGAACAAGACAGTGTTATTCACTGTCACGTTGTTCAGGTACTTCAGCATGGACTTCACTGAAAATTGTACAGTTAATTCCAAAGAGCCATTGGTTTTTTTGAGACTGGAGACTGTTTCATTGTGACACCAAGATTCAAGATCGTATTCAGTGAATGGTGGACACTGCTTTGCAGTGGTGGCTAGTGTTATTGTCAGAGCCCTCTCCACTATGCATTTACCAGCTCTATCCATGACCACTCCGAATATGACTCCAAGTGTACCTTCAATTTGCCTTTCCTCCCAATCAAAGGTAAGTGACACTGGATTTTGAGCATCTCGATATACAATTTGCACAGTTTTAGTCACATTAAAACAATGTGGCTCTAAAAAAAATAAAAGAAAATAAACAAATAATTGAATAAGTTTTATTAGCTAAATTAGGCCTGGGTTCGAAACTATATCCTTGCATTATTGCCCCACGTGCTCAACAAAGATCTTACTGGATTCATAAAAACCAGCTGGATTTTTCATTTTGGACCTTCCCTTTAGACAGAGAGATAAAACCCATAAATCATGACATGTAAATAAACTACCGCCAAAGGAGTATCGTTTCTTCTTCTTACCAGCCTTTATAGCATAAAATTATATATTTTCAAGGCTAGCCAATTAAACCTTACAAAAGAAAGGGGAGGTAGGTGTTATTTTATACGACTAATAATAACGTCCTATTAAATTGATATGATGTTTTTTTTCCTAGCTTGTTTGCAGATTATTATTTTGTCTCTAAAATCACTGAGCCCCTCCCTCAAAAGATTTTGCTCTCCCCTAAAGTTGAGAATAAATTTGCAGATTTCTTTGCAATGGTCACAAGTTTATTGTTTGAAGTAAATTATAATTAATTCAGTGAATTCGAATGGGAGCTTCACTTTTAGTTTTGGCTATATTTATTATCAATAATGATAACAGACATACTTTATTCAAGGTATCATAAAAATGAAAGTACAAAAATAAGACCCTGAAAACGAAGTTAAAGAAGTGGACCCTATATTAATTAACTTCCTAAAAAATAACAATTAAAAAAAGAATTTAAATCAGAGTCTAAAAGGTATAAAATTTGCAAGGAAAAGTATAATCTCCTATCACTCAGTGTATTACTCAAAGAAGAAAAATGCAGAGCTCACAACGGTCTTTGTAAGACATCTCGCCTTTTCGCTGACCTATACCTGTTTAACATGAAAATACGGACACAGAACAAAGAGTTTTGCAGAATGAAATATTTGGTTTTGATCTCAGCATATGCCTTTCTATGCCACGCCAAAAGTGACAAAATATCAAAGATGCAACTTTATAATTCAAATCCACCAATTCACTATCAAGATCGATAAAATTAACAACAATTTGCTTTTTGAATGTGTCAAGATTGTAGAATTTAATTTCAATTCCCACGTGTTTCATGTCATATATCAAGAGACACGTTTTCTAAATCAAGATGCATGTTTTTTAAATCAAGAAGGGAGACGACAATTTTTGATCAGTTTTGTTTCCGAGGGGGACTGAAACCGAAAAATCTGCCATGCTTCATGGACTGCTCCATGAAGAATCCCACCCATTCTTGCCCATTCCCGCCCTCCCGCGTTAGACATGGCGGAGGAAGGAATCGAAGAACTTGTGAGAAGAATCATTCGAGCAGCACAAGGAGTTTATAACACATCTCGAACACATCTCAAACGTGTCAACACCTGACGAAGAACTGAGGCAGCGATTTAAGAACGAGATATATGGGCTCGATCAGAAAGAAAGCAGAACATACTCTCGTAGAAGCGCTGGTGAAATACGTATCACCACAGGCGCGCAGAACGATTAACAAACAAGCGTCGTAAACTCGAACAGTATAAATCTCGCAGGAATACTGTAAGGAATAATATAGGAACACTAAGCAGGCGTCTCACCAGAAAACGCAATCATCGGCTAGAAAAAAAAACTGTCAACAAAGATAACAATGTAAATTGAAGACCAGGATTAGCGAAGTCGATGTATTGTTAGAACAAATGAGATCACAAGTGTGTGCGAATAAACAAAGTGAATCTTACTCTTGTCTCTTATCAGAGTCCTTAGAAGTAAGGGGAAAGGGAAAGCAAACCGCAAAGATAACGAAGCGGCCAAAAACCGCAAAAGAAAAGAGCGGGGAAAAATCAAAGACAAAAAGCGCTTTTTTAACGCCATTGAGTCACGCAAACAGTATATCAAAAACCTGTCAAATGAACAACTGACAGATAAGCAAATTACTCTACGATCGCGTGGTCTAAAGTTTATCCCTACACCCGTGACAAAAGAAAGTCTTATCAGGCGCTAGCTTCTCGTGGATTTCAATCAATTTGCGAGACGAATGCGACTACAATATATTTTTCACGGGGAACTGGGAAAATGAACCTCATCCTTTCCACGTGAAGTCGGACTAGGAACCACCAGTCTAGCTATCTGTGGCTCTGGAGACCTTCCTAGAGGAGGTAAAATTAGAGCTCGCAAGTACTGAATTTGACAAGCCAAAAGATAATAATTATATCTACGGGAGAGCGCCAAGGTCTCAAAGAGTTATCGCGCAACAAAAGCATTATTCTTAAGAAATCTGATAAAGGTAAACACCACCGTATTGATAAGCAGACAGGACAAACTAAACGAAGGTCAGGTTCTGCTTGATGATTTAAATAACTACCGACCTCTAGACAAACCACCAATGGTTGAAACTACAACCAAAAAAGCTCAACAACTTATTAAAACACTGCTCTCAGAAGGCCACATTGATAAAACGACGGCTAAATGTCTCTCCCTTACGCCCGATCCTCCGCAAATCCCCATGTTTTACACACTTACTAAAATCCACAAACTGACACCTGTTGGAGGACCTATTATATCAGGGTGTTCCGGACCTACAGAACGGATCTCAGCATAAGTTGACCACCTTATTCAGCCAATAGCACAACTACAAGCTTCGTATCTTAAAGATACGACAGACTTTATTAACTTCATCGAGGGGATTAAACTGCCTAAAAGTGCCATACATGTTTCAGTGGACGTCACAATACAAAAAAAAAAAAAACAGAACGAGAGGGTATTACCACTGTATGCCTTGCATACGAAGAATTTCACCAAGGAAACCCTCCAGTACCTACCAGGTTTTTAAGCGAAATGCTTAGTCTTATACTACTAGAAAACTTGTCCAATTTAACTTGAATGATTATCTTCAAACCCATGGAACAGCCATGGGCACGAAAGTGGCCGTAGCCTTTGCTAACATCTTCATGGCCAAAATAGAAAAAGAAATACTCAGACTCAGAGTAGCATTAAGCCCATCTTTTGGAAAAGGTTTATATCGATGACATCATATCAGAATGGGACACAAGCAGAAACGAAATAGAAGAATTCCTTCTACAGGCAAACAACTTCCATTCTACAATCAAATTCTATCACGGCTGAAATATCAGAAATAGAGACTACATTCTTGGACACGAAAGGTACAAAGGTGTCAGATTCAACAACAATTTTATCTTGACGTGGGAACACATTTCAAGCCTACAGAAACATTCCAATGCACGAATTTGTATTCGTGTCGATCACCCACCAGGCGTCACAAAAGGCTTCATCAAAGGAGAAGCAAGGAGTTTTTCAACACGCCTCAAGAATATAGATTACCCAGCTACAACTGTAGAAAAACATCTCTCAGAGGTCAATTTCGCAGACGGAAAGAAATCATTAGAAAAGAGAAACAAAAATGCAAGTAAGAAAATACTACCATTTGTAACGCAATACCGTCCTGCGTTGCCCAACCTCAAGAACATACTCATGGGGAAATGGCACCTTATACAGAACCAACCATATGTCAGAAACATCTTTAAGGAACCTCCCCTCATTTCATATCGCAAAGGAAAATCCCTAAAAGACACTCAAGTAAGAGCTAAACTATAAAGGTTTTAAGACCAATCTATTTGCGAACTGCAGGAGTCGTGCAGGCCCCTCAACACTTTTAATTATTTAAACCTTGAATTCCAACCTGTGTGCTCGGTTTCAGTCCCTCTCGGAAACAAAACTGATCAAAAATTGTTGTCTCCCTTCTAGCCTGCAGTGCAGGCGTTTTCTTTGAGCGCGCAATTTGCCTGTGAAAGCGCCATGTTGAAACTTCCCGAAGAGAGCAGGAGATGGGGCGAGTCAAAGGGAGCGGGGAGGGGGCGGGGAAAGAGAAGAGAAAACGCCTGCCCAAAAACATTGTGAAAATGAGAAACACCCCCTAATTAGACGTGCGTGACCGCCGTTCCGGAAATGAGTAGCCGACAATAACAAATCAACCAAAGAGTCGTTCCAAAGACTCGCATTGCCTTAAGAAAAACAAGCTGGAGTTTATCATTGTTTTTATCTTGACTGAGTCACATGCAATTCTCCACAGCCGATGAAGCTTCAGTTTAAGCTGCAATTCATTCTTCTAAATTCATCTCTGTAAATCGCTATCCATGAGAGTTTAACATCCTGCAAACAATTTAAAAAACTAACGAGCTGGGCCCAGCGTGATACAACATTGCAGGAAAACATCACATTCTCGGACTAGAAAGAAAATTGCTTAGTTATTCAGATCCTGAGGCACTTTGGCCAAAAATAAGGAACCTAACAGCCGTATTTAGCGACGAAAAGAGCTTTACGCTTCAAAAGAGCTCAAAGAAAACGCTCTTGCATCAGAGGGCAAAACATGAAGACCAGAAATTCAAAAACCACAGGAAATCAATAAGCGTGTCATGACCTCTCAGTGTGAAACAAGCGGCTAAAATCACATTTGCTCAGTCAAAACATAGAACCCTCTAGAGCATAATGTGCTCGCCAGAAAAAAAAAACATGGAACAAGCAGCATTTTGGCATGAGGTAAAAGTGGTGTAGGTTTTAGTACTGCGAGCAAATCTTGTCCTGATGACCAGTGTAGAAATAGCTTTGACTTTCTCATTGCGTAATACACGCGACATTCCCAGCCGCTCCAAAAGACTGACAGAAACGGAATAAACAATATAGACTTACAGTGAATTGATAGACATCAATCTACTTCCCTACGCCGCACCAATCAGGAGCTCCGTTTGCCACCGTACGGAGTTTCCCAAAAGAACAATGATATCGGGCAGGCATATTTTTTCTCCCCTCCCCCCTTTCCTTCTTTCGCCCTCGCACCTACCGTAAGGGTTACTATTTCTACTCTCCCCAATCTTTCACTGTCATAAAATCAAAGATGGCAGCTACAACAATATTACGATTTCGCCCACCCAAAATACGCCTGCACTGCAGGCTATCTCCCTTCTTGATTTAAAACACATGCATCTTGATTTAGAAAACATGTCTCTTGATACATGACATGAAATACGTGGGAATTGAAATTAAATTCTACAATCTTGACACATACAACAAGCAAATTGATGTTAATTTTGTCGATCTTGATAGTAATTTGGTGGTTTTGAACTATATAGTTGCATCTTTGATGCTTTGTCACTTTTGGCGTAGCATACCTTTCTCTGTCAAGTGATCTAGCTTAAACAGGTAGACAGGCGATAATATGCTTTAAATTATTGCAATCGAACGGTTCCTACTGTACATGTAAGACCTCCTACTCGTTGACCTGACAAAGGAATTTGTATTCGTTCGATCCATCAGCGACAACAGAAACCTTCAGTTCAACTTTTCCTTTGACCGTTCGGACCTATTGTAGCATTAGTTTAAAATGCAATAACTGATGTCTCGTATTCATCAACACTATTTTGTCTCGACTGCATCATCAATCATCGATCAATCAAGCTACCGAAAGCTATTTCAACTTACCTATGGCAAAGCCACTGGAGAAAACAGTCAAGAACATCATCAAAAGGCCTAGCCCCAAAGAAAAACGCTGATTCATCATCCTTCGCCCTGCTCGATTATGCCTGCGAAAAAGGGCACGCACAGACACGCACAGTGTATCCCGCGCTTTTATTACTACAACCACCTCGGGAACTTTGCTCAGCGGATTCGCCCCTTCAGCGGTAGGAACGTCTTTTATAAAATAACTAAGATAGTACGCGCGCTCTGATTGGCCGAGAGCAGTGTTTGCATGAGAGTATGTAAACATGGTTGTGGCGTCAAGTTGTTTGGTTTTTCGCGCGCTAATCACGCAAGCACAAATTTGAAAAAGTTTTCGAGTTCAAAACTCAAAAAGTTTACTTTATTTACCCATTCCTTCGTCGGCTGAAACTTGGAAAATCGTTACAAAGAAGGTGTGTACATTTTTCTTGGCTTAAGCTGACCGTTTTAAGCGAGAAAAATCCGTATTTTGCAAAGCATCTTTTTGCAAAACAAGAACTGATTACGCGTGCAAGACTTCGTGGACAAGATTTTGCGACTGGTAAGAATTTCTCTTTTAATCAGTGCCTTACAAAGAGTTTTGCGTTTTTTTCTCGGGAAAGTTATTTTATAAAAGCAATAGAAAACTTTTTTCCTGTGTTTGCGTAGCCTGATATAAACACTTGAGGCGTTGGGAGAATTCTCGACAGTTATGCAAACCCTCGACTTCGTCTCGGGTTTGCATAACTGTCTCGAATTCTCCCAACCCCTCTCGTGTTTATATCAGGCTATGCAAACATGGAAAACGTTTTCTATTGCTTAAA